GACAACCAACCAATAAAACTCAGTGAATTTTATTTATTTGAATTCTACAGGTTTTCAGAATTAAAAAAAAAAAAATCAATGAGTTTGGTCAGTTGGTTGTGAAGATATCTTCGCTCAAATTTTTAAAAAATTTTATTTATAAGAACTAGACTATCTAGGGTTATCGATATGGCGTCCAATAGAAATCCATAAAAATTGATCTACGGCACGTGATCTGAGAATTTTTTTCGCCATGGCTAGGGTACTATGTGAGATGTGATGATCACTGGGTTCCGTGTTCTTGAAGTGTCCCTCTAATAGTATGCAAAATTTTGTATGCAGATAGTTACCTATAAGCCATATATTTCGTACTTAATACTACGTTCCTGGTATTCATATTCCAACAACAAGATACTATAAGATCATACACAAAATCCATAAATGACAACTTGAACATGTAATAACATAAACTCATCTGATCTTGCAATAATGATTGCCCTATCACATCGTTGGCAGCTTTTCAACTTAGACCCTAACCCAGGGTTGTCAAATTTGTCCATTGCCACCAATGGAGCTCCAGTCCATTGGTCTAAAAAATTAACTCCATTGAATATATTTTTCAATGGACCAATGGACAATACACTTTATAAATTATATAATACACGGTAATAATAATATAGATAACCCAAATTTTAAAGAAATAAATTATATAAATTTAGATTACTTTGTGAAAAATAAGCATAAATAAAATATTTAATTATTTAAATTCATGATGTAGTTATTAAAGCTATGTGTAAAGCAAATGCATTATATCAGTAATTTATTAAATCTTAAAATCTAAATATAATTTAACCTCTTAAATATATAACTCCACATAGCAAAATCGTCACATAAACACTAATAAATTTAAAAGGTTTGACGTATTGAATGATATAATTTCGACTTGTCATGCGCCCGCCAATGTTATTATGTATATTTGCGAATCTATAGTGTTAAATATTCTTTGCTACTTATTATTATATTGGTCTATAAGTTATAATTAAAATAATGGACCAATTTATTAATGGACATTTATATGAACATATAGGGGTGTCAGTAGAAACCAGGCAAATTGTTTCTAAGTAAATTTTTTTTAGACTTTAAATTAAAATATCTCAAACAATATTAAACCAAACTTGATAAAGGTTTTTTTTTATTTTAATGCTATTTAGTTATAGAATTAAAATAAAAAAAATTATTAAGTTTGGTTTAATAGTTGTTGAGATATTTTAATTTAAAGGTTTAAAAAAATATACTAAAAACAATTTGCCTGGTTTCTACTGACACTCCCCCATATATCCATTGATGCCCATTGATATGATAATTTTTACTGAGCATAATCCATTGCTAACCCTGCTCTAACCACATATTGCGTGTCGATAGAATTTGTAATAAAATTTTTACAGTAAATGATAGAATTCGCGACTCAACCAAATACTTGTGACACAATATCAAAGAAGTTCTATAATAATTTTTTTTTGTACAGCAAAAGAAATCATGCCTATTGATCCTGATATAAACTAACTTATCTGCATACTGCGTGTCATCACAATAGCCCGTAAGTCTTAAAACATAATTTCATGGTAAATTATAATGGAATGCATAGCTGTTAATTCCAATATAAACTAACTCAACTACATTCTGCAATAGCGAGTAAGTTTTATAACAAATTTTTACAGTAATTTTTTCATTATATAATCACGACTGTTAATTTTAATACAAGCTAACTCAACGACATACTATGTGTCACCGTAATAGCGAGTAAGTTTTGTATCAAAATTTTATAGTGAATTATGATAGAAATAAGACTGTTAATTTCAATACAAACTAACTTGCGTAATATGTCACCACAATTGCACATAAGTTTTGTAACAAAAACTTTTACGGTAAATCATGACAAAAATCACATCTTTAATTCCATTACAAACCTACACGATTAACCACATACTGTGTATCACTACTGCTAGTAAGATCTGTAATAAATCTTGTGTGTTGCTACAACTAGTCAGTTATGTAACAGATTTCTTACGATAATAAGAAATTACGACTATTAGATTCTAATATAAACTCAACTTTAGTGATTTGTAACAAATTTTTTTGAAGGATATAACACCCATCGGGTACAAATTGAAACCTTTCCTGGTTTAAATAATATTTTCATTTTCACTATTTGATATTTCAGTAATACAGTCGAACCCCTCTAAAATCACACTGCCAGGATCATAGTGACTTTTTTTTGAAAATGTGCTTATATAGAGGTTTTTTCTATATATTTATAATAGTTGGTTTTAAAATAGATGTGCTTATAAAGAGAATTTTTATATGATGTGCTTATATAGAGGGTGACTATAGAGAGGTTTGACTGTATATTTAATGCGTAAGATCCTTGTACTTAAACTGAGCTATATTAGAAATATACGTCATTGAATAATTTGATTATAACGACATTTGAACCTACACAATTAATATAAAATGTCTTTGGTCAATCCGCATTTGAATTTTTCAAATAATCACTATGCTCAATCAAATATAGTAAATTAGAACTATCGAAATATTAATACTACTAAATTTATGCAATTGTATTTTTCTAAAGTGGATAAAACGTTTAATTAATAATAGAACAAGATCCTTAGAAGATAAGTTCAGTGTAGTAATAAACATTTACTCATTCCTAACCTTACTTAGATATGATATTATAAAAAAATATATGATTACTAATTATCTGATTGCTACATACTTTTATAAAGTACAGATGTTTAGAACTTTATGAAACAAGATTGAAATTTTGAAATATTTTGCGTATTTTTTTTACAAGAGCAATAAACTAAAATATTTAAATTTATAATTTATTTATTCGACAGTAATTATTTTAATATCATCAGTTGTGTCTTCCTTAATACTCTTATTATAAGTTACTATTTCATTTTGTTGCATTGATTTTTCTTTTCGTTTTTCTAACCAAGTTAAGAATAATCCCTTTCTATATTGATATTGGTAAGTGGCCCACAATTTTAAGATTCTATAAACTCTCTTACTTAAAATTATTAATATGGTAAACAAAAAAATTATGTAAATCATAAGCCACGCCAATATAAGTAGCCATGATAATATAATACGAAGTTTATTTAAAGTACACCAATCATTTAACCATGAATCTAAAACCTCGATATGACCACATGAAATTATTTGATGATCAGGACCAATAATTTGATCTTTTAAATATGGAAGTGCAAGTGGTATACTGCTGCAAGCCCCAATTCTATAACAAAGAGACAGTAGTTAGTTTGATATAAATATTAAATTTTTTTGAATCTCATAAAAAAATAATAGTTGTAATTACATATTAAATATAAATGCAAGTGTTACACAAATACAATCTGTAGACATGCAACTACACCAACAACAAGTGAATACACAATAAATACAATAATATCCATAAAACGCTAAAGAATATCCACCAGCATATGACAATGCACTATAAATATTTAATACGTTATTTATTGTTGAAATTCAGATAAGAAAATATAAGAAAGTGAATTCATACGAATCGTAGCCATATTTTCCATCAAGATCTGTATTGTTGTTAAGACTATTTTGCTTATTTAATATAGCATCCGATTTAACATCTATACATGTATAAAAATAAAAATAAAATTTTTAGATTAAATCAATTGATTGTCTCTTAAACTGTCCTTCTATTTATCGTGAAATTTAAAATATATAGCAATATAAATTAAAATTCAAATAGATTAATCGTAGAAATTACATATGTGACAAGTAAATTTGCCTGACAGTTTGAAGGATAAAAAGATATATGATATACCAAAGATAATAAAAATCACGAAAATCACAAATATAAGTATGTTGTTAATGATTATCATCCGTCGAAAAAATTCTACTGTTATTGTTTGAACATATTCATCAAAAAAAGATATTTTTCTTGATTGACGTGGAATCATTTTTAATATTATTTAACGAAACGGATATTTATAATAAACAACAGGACTTAGAGCCCTACTGAAAAAGGATTGATATTTATAAGATCGTGTGATCCTGTACTAGGTGTGACACGTGTGATGTGCTCATTCTTTACCTTCCATTAATCTTTATTATGTATCTAGTATTGGTAATGTATATTTGCTATAGGTGGATTTGAAGTTCTGTTGAATCGGAATCCACTTAAGTGGATTCCGAATCTCGAAACAATTTAAGTAGGAATAGTGTCACGTATATTCTCTGCTATGGGGATTTTGGGACAGTGATCATCACATCATGTGAAATTATGCAATTACGTCATTTGTTTACTAGCACCAGCAAATTAGCCTATCACCTAACCCTAACACTAACCCTAACAAGCAGGCGGGCTTAATTCTGATTGGTCAATCACTAAATGTATCGTCACATATACCCCACATATATCATCTGACTTTAAACGAATTGTCTGCCATAAAAACGAATTGTCAAATGAAACTGAATTGATATTCAAAAACTACATCTTTCACTTTAATCCAGAAGTTAGTGACGGGTGCACTTTTTGCCTTATAGGTTAGAGTAATTTGTAATGTGCAAGGTAAATTGTACCTTTGCTAATAAAATAATAAAATATTGAGTGTTTTTTTAAAACTTGTTAATCTAAAAAATAGCATTTCAAACAATAATACTTATGATTGGTTTTTTTTTACTATTTTTATTGAATATAGGTTATTCAACAAGTTTTTATAAGTTGCAACATAGTTAATATAGAATATTTATAGAAATATATGGCAACTTTGCTACATTTTGTAGTTTTTATGCTGTTTATACTCTTTATATACATGTATGGCACTTAATAATAGTCGCGATTCTTTTTAATTCATTTGTATATATAATTTATTATTTATCTTGTACTAATTAAAAGCGATTTGGTTAATAAAGGTATCTATGTATATGTTTAATGAAATGTTAAGCTTAAAAAATATATCTTTTTGCTTAAATTTAACCAACATGTATTTGACAGTGACTATTAGGATTCAAGTATTAAAAATTATCAATATAAATTAAATTTTATAATTTAGATGGATCGTTTTGTTTAGTAACTTTAAAATTTTTTTACTTCAAACTTATTTTCTATTAGCCAATCAGATTTTGTAACGTCACAAAATGATCTACAAAAATTAACCAATCAGAATGAAAGCTCGCCCTGCTAGATTACCTAAGTTGATTCCATTTTTAGTATAAAATACTATGCTACTTCTAAAATTTAGATAGCATCCAATTATATTACCAGTAGTATATTCAGGGTCATCTGGATTACTATATGGCCCACCATTTCATCCATCGTCATTATGGTAACCACACCCTAAAAGATATGATATAGCCTTTAATATTTAATAAGAAAATAAAATAAAAATTTGCTATTACCAGGCATGAGCATATTATTTATATAATTTGTATCGTCAATTTTTTCATCGCTTTGCTTTGTACAATATCCGATTCCAATCATTTTATTAAGAAAATAAAAATTAAAAGATTATAAAAAATCACCGGAACAAGGGTGATGTCTATGGTACGAAATAAATATTAACATTACCCATTTTTCCTCTGTTTAAAATTTTAATTTCAAAGTAAAATATCCCACACTCTGAAGGGATTGGATTGTTTGCTCGAACAATTACAGCTTTATAGTCATCAGGATCTTTGGTTTTAAATAAATTAAATAACTATGATAGATTGTTGTTCAATTCCCTGAAAATTATTTACCTGCAAACTCATTTCTCCGTTACCGCAATGTCGACATTATAGCACATTTTTCGATAAAACATATATTTGACATTACATATTTTCGACAATACTTTCTTAGATAAGACATTTCCCTGATAATAATTTCTTTGACATAAATTGGCCTGATTTAGAAATAATGTTGGTTAGAATTATATGTCTGTAAATTATTGTCGAAGAAATGTCTTGTCTAAGAAAAGAATTGTCGAAAAAATGTAATGTTAACATATATCTTATAAAAAAATGTTCTGTAGATGAAATATCATGTCGGTATTACAGTGTCGGGGAAATGAGTTGGTGGTAAATAACTTCGGAAATCGTGCCGTAACTATAGATGTTGGTGAAATTATAGTGATAATTTCTACATTCTACAGTAGAAATTGTTGAAATAATTTAACCAAAAATTTTTTAAAATTGAGATGCCGAATTAAATTTCAGTTGTTGAAATTAATTTACATACAAAAATTAAATCAATGGTAGAAATTAAATCCACAGTTGAAACTAAATCAATGCTTGAAATTAAATTACTAGTTGAAATTAAATCAATGGTTGAAATTAAATCACCTGTTGAAATTAAATCAACAGTTGAAATTAAAATTAATAGTTTAAGGGTTCTCACTTAATGTTAATTATAGAGATCATGCACAAGTACTACAAGTAATACTAATAGTAATTTTATCGAAAATTTATGTTGCGAAATGCGGATATTAAATTTTAGCCAATCAGCACAACTCTATTATAAAAAAAGATAGTCTCTGTTTATTATTTTTTTTTTATTAATAATATGCTAAAAAAACTTCTTGTTGCGATAATAAACTCGATTGACTGAATAATTTATTTTCCACTAATTAAATTGAACTCTGATCTCTTAATTTAAATGCTTGGAAGCACTCTAAATTAAATAAGGCACTCAGCTTAATTCCCACAAACTTAATTGTGCAATTAAGGAAATTATTCTATCTAGTTTTAACATAAAAATTATTGTAATTGATCAGATTAAAATGAACTATGTAAGTATAAAAAAATTGACAAACCACCGAAAAATAAAATTGTTAAAGTTAGAGGTTAGTTTTAAAATAGAATTTATACTAAACAAGTATAAGTGAGTTTGGATTAGATATTAGTCAAAAGTGGAAAATTTTGCCTGTATGAGCCAGAAAAGCGTCAACAATATAATAAACAGATATAGTTTGCCGCATGCTAAAATCTTTTTAATATGGGGCTATTTACACCAGGAAATCGAAAAAAATGGCAAAAATATTGAGAGAAAAATCAAACTTTTTTCACTAATTTAGCCGATAAATCAAAACCAAAAAAGTTTTAGAGGGTTAAATAGAAACTTACATTTAATCCGATTTCATTATGATCCACGGCAATTATTAATCGTACAAGATTTTACATGTTAATTCTAGCTATCACATTTGGGCTAACTTCAATTTCTAAAAAAGAAAATTGAACCGTATTAATACTTAATTCGTATTATTCAGATTAATAGTGATAGATTTAATTGGTTCGTTTAACACAATTAACATATTTGAAATTTAATTTTGATTCCAAATAAAATAGAAAGCCTGATTTCAAAACTCAATTAGTGTGAGTTAGACGAAAGATTTGGGGACGGATCAGAAATATGTAAGTATAAAAAAATTGACAAACCACTGAAAAATAAAATTTTGGAGGGCACATTTTTTAGGATTAGAGGTTAAGGAGAATTTATACTAAACAAGTATAAATGGGTTTTAGAGGATTAAATAGAAACATATATTTCATTTTAATTCGATTTCATTATGATCCATGGCAATTATTAATCGAACAAGATTTTTACATATTAATTCTAGCTAAATAGTACTTAATTATTCGATATATATCGATATTACATTTGGATTCTAACTTCAATTTTCTAAAAAAGAATAAACTATATACTTACAGACTGGTAATTTAACATGTAAGTGAAAGAACAAAGAAGTAATATTTAATAGAGTAATATCTATATAATTAAGCCACTGAGAAACTACTAAAAATACATAATAATGGCTAATACTAGAAAGGTAAGATTAACATGGCTATAATGATACAATTATGCTTAAAGAATTATACAAATACGGAAGTGAGAGACAAGGAAAAAATTATTCGTTACAATAGTATATGATTACATAATAATTAATATGTATTGGTATATATAAATAATAAATTCTATCAAAATACTAACGTTGATTATTATATTTTTTCAAATGTCAAGTGTTATTTCAGACAGTAATCACGATAGTCAAGTTCCTGAAACTGATAGAGCTGATAGCTCTGAAGATTCTTCTAGTAATGAAAGTATTAATAAAAAGAATTATAACAATAAAAAAAGAAAAAAAGAAAAAGCTAACAAATCAGTTGGTAGACCCGAAGATCCTGTAAATGCTGAGTATATTAAACTTGGTACACGAGATAAGCATGGACATGTAGCAATAAAGTGTAAACATTGTGAAGAAGTTACACAGTGAGGACGACCTAGTGAAATGAAATCGCATTTAGCATTAGAATGTAAAGATGTACCAGGGGACATTAAAAAAAAATACTTGCACATGATTATGAATTCTGAACCTTCAAAAAAAAAAAAAAGAAAAATTGAAATTGAAACTAAAAATCAGCCAAAAATTACTGACAAATTTTAATCAACTCATTTAGATCAAAATCAAGAAAAGCTTATTAACAAAGCTTTAATTCATTTTTTTACTTGTTGTGGAATTCCTTTTTGAGTAGTTGAAAGCCCTTTTTTTATTGATTTACTTAAAAACCTTAATGCGGGTTACACACCTCCTAGTCAAAAAATTTTAAGCAACCTTTGGCTTGATCAAGAAACTGCACGTATTACAGTAAATATTGATGAACAGCTTAATCGGCTTAAAAATTTAACTTTAGGTAACATTATTTTTAATTTAAAATAATATATAGTACTATATATTAATTATATAAATTAATTAGTTCTTGACGGGTGGACGAGTGGATCGCATCATTCTTATTATGCATTTGTTATTATTACTTCAGATAGACAACAATATGTTCATTCAGTTCAAGATTTTTTTTCTTATTCACATACTGGATGTTTTTTATCAAATGAAATTATTAAAATAATTGAGGAAATTGGTCTAAATAAATTCGGAGCTGTTGTTTCAGATGGTGCTGTGGCAATACAACTTGCAAAAAATTTTGTTGCTAATAAATATCCGCATATTATACCAGTTCGCTGTATTGTGCATCACATTCAGTTAATAGCAACAGATATTATTAAGAAAACTTCTTTTGGATCACAAGTTCTTTCAAAATGCCAAGAATTTGTTACTTACTTTCAAAATTCTCATATGTCTGGTGCCCAGTTAAGAAATGAAATTACTGATTTATTTATTAAAGGTGGAGGTTTAAAATCATCCGTTAAAACTAGATAGTGTTCTGCGTGGGATTGTTGTGACTCAATTTTGAGATTAGAACCTGTTTTACGAAATGTAAGCATGTTTTATTTAATTAACTTATTGACAATTATCAATTATATATGGATTTTCTTTTTAGTTATTTTTATTTTATTTTATTTATTTTATTTTTAGATTATAGAAAATAATCCGAGAGCACTTAGTGAAAAATTAAGAAATTATATTACAAGTCGTGAGTTTTGGGCTAATATTGAATGTCTTCATAAAATTCTTGAACCTACTAAAATTGCTGTTAAAACTGTTGAATCATCAAATGTTAAGTTTGCAGATATGTTTTTAATTTTAGTTAAAATGGCTTTCGCAATTAAAGCTATGCCAACTATGGAAACAACAATTGAAAGACTTGAATTTAGGAAAAATTGTATTGCTTTTTATAACAAACGATGGGCCGAATTTGATACTGACTTTTATTTACTAGCTTATTTTCTACACCCCAAATATCGTGGCAGAGGTTTGACTTCAGAAATGTTTGAAAGAATTTTTTGAAAAGCTTTAATTATCTGGAAGTCACAAGGTGGAGGAGACAATAGTGTGCGAGAATTAATTGCACAAATACATAATTATGATCTTCAAAATTCTCCATATTATTCCGTTTTTCAAGACCATATTGAACTTCCAGAAACCTGGTAGGCCGCGATTAAACTACCAAACCACCATCTTCAAAAACTTGCTTTATTACTTCTCGCAATTACTCCTCATAGTGCAGGGTGTGAGCGTGTTTTTTCAGTATTGAATTGGTTTACTCAAAAACGTCGAAATAGGTATACTATTGTTTACTATATAATTATATTTTATTTGAAAATTTTAATTTATACATATAACTATTAATGTTAAAGATTGACCGTAAAAAAAGTTTCAAATATGGCCAAATTACATGCATATTATGTCACAAATGCACGCCATGAACTTAATTATGTTGGACAAAATCTTTCAGAAAATGATTTTTTAAAAATGATGCAGGATTACACTCATTCGCTTACTTCAGGTTCTGCCATGTTTGAAAAAGATATTCAACTATATGATTCTGATGATGATTTTGAGGATAATTATGAAGATTCTACTAATGATGACTTATCCGAAGTTAACTTATCCGAAGTTGATTCTAATATGTTAAATATTGAAATAGTATTAATTTGGCTTATGCTTTGAATAATACAAATCAACCTACGATTCTAGATGAAATTATTGATCATGGTGAAACCGATTTTGATATTGACGCACTCACTAGTCAAGGAATGCAAATGCGAAATGCATTAGTAGACAAAGAAAGCGAAGATTTTAGTAATGGTAGGGTTAATTAATCTAGTTTATTTATTAATCGTATATGGTATCCTTGATTATAATTCAATTTATAATTTTATTTTGTATATACGTAGTATAAATTTTTTAGGGCATAAGATTTATGACGCCTGCTTACAAAGCATATAAATATGTTTTATTTTATTTTTATAAATATGGATCAAAGTTTTAAATACATTTACTTTCCGGTATTGTTCCTTTTAAAAGCCTTCGAACTTTTATGATATCAGACCAATTGACGTATCATGTGTAATGCATAGGTCATAATTACTGACATTTGCCATAACTAGTTACAGCGGTTATGACAATACAACAGATTACGGGTTACGGCAAGAGGAAATATATGAAAAGTTGCAGAAATAGGAAAAAGTTAACAATAATACAAGAGTTATAACTTATGAAAATATAAAAGGTTATAGCAATAAAATCAATGAGTATTTAATAAGTATTTTATTTTCAAAAAAACAATTATTTTTTCAATTATTGCACGATTAAACTTTATTACCAACATTAAAAAAAACCAGAAATTTCTAATAAAATATTACGGCATACTGTAGGTTAGATCTTATTGCATAAATCAGATGTTCGTCTAAGAACTATATCAAGTATTGTATTAGTAGTGTTGGTGATTGGGAGATTGAAAGGCATTGGCCTTCCAACTCTAATGCTTTCCAGTAACTTTGCCATTGAAGATCGTGTGCAACTAGAAAAACATCATTATTCGAATATCAATATTCAGTAAAGACTTATACTTGCAATTTTTTTTTTTAATTTCTTTTCATGAAACAGAGACAAGCTATATATAGCATTGAATCTCATAAGATGCCCTATTACGCTGAGGTTCTTATTACCAATAGGAGACTTTCACGAGAACAAGCTTCAGGACTTCACGCATTTGGTAATTTTTTTTCTATTTCTTACGTGGGACACTTATCCGATATCATATAGAATGACAATACGCTAAAAATGTGTAGCCACAACTAATCAAATACTACCCTGACTCAGGACCGGGAAATCTTTATTATAGGTCCCGCCACTACAATATTCGAGCACTATTATAAATTTAGAAAATGTGACCGACTTTAAATAGATTTGAATAATCAAAGTCTTTGTAAAGTCATCGGCTTTGTATGATTCGCAGAAATATTGGTCACAATCTGATTCGCATCATTATTATATAATCGTTATTTATCATATGGCTTTAATATTCTATAGCGTAGTCTTTTTATGATATAATCATTACAGCACGGCCACTATTGATCATGAGTATTACACTATTTATGTTATAAACCACTTTCTTTTTATTGCGTCATTCATGCTGCACGATGCATACGTCATCCATACTTATATTATGTTGTACTATACGAATTAAAGGAGTTTAAAAAAAACAATACAATTTATGATCAATGACCGCCGTACTATAATATCAATATAGCCACATTGGTACAACGACAATTTTTTTGATTATTCAGAAAATGCTGCTTCGTGGCATTCTCTGATCAAAAAAATTATCAGTGTACTAACGTGATGTTATCTCATATTACATATATTATCTAATTATTTTATATTGTTTGGCGAACAAATAAGAATAACAGAATTCAAAACTCAATATATTTATAATGGCAAATTTATGTAATTCTCATTTTAATTACATAATTATTATATAAGGTATCCGACCAAACAATGATTCGCATTATTATCAACTTATTAAAGGTGTTCGTAAAACTGATTCGCTTAATTAGAAAAAAGCCTGATTCGCAAAAAATATAATTAAAATTTTTATGGCGGGGACCTATAATAAAGATTTCTCGGTCCTCCTAACCCTATGTGATGTCGGGTAAGTGTGAATAGCTTTCGGAGAGTTGAGCGACACCAATTCGATTTTGTTTAGATAATCAAATCAATCCTATCATTTATCACACAATAATCTTGGATATGGACAACGATTTTGTATTTAATCATGGGCACAAGGAGCATTGATATATTTAAATTGGTTGTCGCTCAACTCCCCAAAAAATATTTCTCAACAGGACACTTACATAGGGTTAGGGGTAGAGTTGCGGCTAAAATAAGGCTTCTGAAGTGTTTTTTATTCGATTGTGAAAAGCTAGAGAACTAGTATTAATAAGTAAGAAGAAATATTTAAATAAACATTTAACTTTTACGGAAATAACAATTACCAATTATTCAAATTGATACTTTCTACATTAATTTTTAAGCCATCCGAGCATTGATTTATAAGAGACAAAAAGGAACTTGGAGGAATTAGTAAACCCTATACATTTTAGCAGATTGTTATATCGAATAAGTGGCCTGTCAGGAAAATAACTTTCAGGAAATTTACCGTAAGCTTCCTACATTATCCTTGGTAGTGGGGCAAAGACGAAAGAGGGTAAAATAATTTCTATTTTTCTTTTTTTTATAGCCAGTTCTATAACTTGCTATTATTAATCAAAATCGTATGATTCATCAAGTTATTTTAAAAACAACAGGCCTAATCAAATGCCCTATATGGTGTCGGATAAGTTTGATAGCCCAATTGAAAAAAAGGGGGGAAACATGCAAGGACGCAGGAATTTAAAGTTTGTATTACCAGCAGCAGAGTGCTATCAATTACGAGAATTCTTAATTTTTCTATTTACATAATATACTGCAATAAATATCAAAATGCCCAATTTCGAAGTAACCATTTTTATAATGATAGCTATATATATTAACTACGTTGTATTAAATTATTTCAACTGTTGAATTAATTTTGATAGTTAATTTATTTTCAACCGTTGAATTAATTTTGATGGTTAATTTATTTTCAACCGTTGAATTAATTTCAACTGTTAAAAATAATTTCGGTTTCAACAGTTGAATTTAATTTTCAACCGTTGAAATTTTCAAAATTAAAATTTAATTTCACCGCCACCTATAGCCGTAACCCTATGATGATATTCTTTTAAATGCAGATTTACAGTAACATATTAATTATATTTCTGCAAGTTATCTCATTTTCATATTACCTGTATAACACTTTAATTCCACATGAAATCTATATCAATAAATGGCAATTTATCTTCAATATCCTATGCAATCGGTAAAAATATTAAGATCTTTTTTGTTAATGAACAAAGTCGTTAGTACTGTAAAAGTTCTGTTGCAAAGCCTATTATTATTCTTTTGACACATAGCATGCAGTTCACTAATGCATGTTATTAGTGCTATCTATACCTCAGTTAATAATACCAAAGATATTTAGAATGTGTAATGCACAAAAGTTAATAATTTTTTAGATCATAAATAGGTAATTGAGTTCAATATTATTATGTTGAGTCATAATCAAGACGTCTTGATTTTCACAATATATTGTATATTTTTACTATAATATATTTAGTAAACCTCTTAATATAATTATGGAAACATAGCTATAATCGAGAATGTCCGAAAGTAAATCGCAATTGTTTTTTAGTTTTAAAAGGAAATGTGGCAACTAATAAATAAAATGCCTAACGTCTGATCATAAACTTTATTGGAAACGATCTGCTACATAAAGATTAGAGAAGGTTAACAAGGATACATTACTTAATTGTATTATATAAAAATACCTTCATAAATCAGTGATATGAAGCTCTATTATACTGCTGGTACTATAAAATATAAAATGAAAAGCTATCTTTAAAGGTGAAATTCTTTTTATACTTAACCACAATGTAGTATTTAGTTTTTAAGTCGTTGCACTATAACTTAGGAGTACAATTTCCTTTTATGAAACCTCTGTAACTAGTGATCGAAAACAGGCTACCATTGCAATATACAATCAAAAATTTCATATAACTCAAATTTCATAGTAAAAAATTTATTCACCTAATCTTGATCGACTGATATGACAGTTTACGGTACGTACAAGTACAATAAGTAAACAGTGATCACTGTAGCTAATTACTCGTAATACGTAACTGGCACACATTCAAGATGTGCTATAAAAAGAAAATATTATGTAAATATTATAAGGTTTAACCAATAGTTTACTATAAATTCAAAAACAACCCAATACGTACGTACATAGGATAAAAATTTTTGGGGGAAAGCTCTAGCTCTAGATTTGATCAGTGCAGACACAGATTTCCGGTTTAGTCTAAAAGGAAATGTGGCGGATCACGAGTAAGATCACAACCAATAAACTTTATTGGCTGCATGCCGACAAAAGTGGCGTTAATTAGATCGTACATACGTACGTATGTACTGTTGCACTCAAACCACCTCTAACCGGTTTGATTATAAATGCCTGCGGACATAATTACACACAAAATCTGGTCTATCACTTCCCCATTAGGTCCTCCGCTACGCTCCGGACAATAAATACGTATGCGAATTTTATAAAACTTCTTGAACATAAAAGTTTCTTTTAAGAAATTAAATCTGTATTCGTTAAATAATGGAAATCGTAATTTCTGTCGGGATAATTCTTTTTTTATATATTTTGTACTTTTATTTTCACTATTTTACTCGTCCGAACCATCTCCCTGGTCCATTTCCATTACCATTTATTGGTACATTTTTTCAAATTGGATTAGACCCTCGTAAATGGGCTGAAAAAAATTTAAATGACTCTATAGATATTTGGGAGTTTTATGCAGGCCCTTTTCGGGTTATAGTTCCTTGTGACGCGAAATACCTCGATAAAATATATTTGTCGAATAAGAATTTATCTTGGAAATCAAATTTTTTTAAACGCAACCTTGCTGCTTATGATGAAGTTGGAGCATTAAAAGGCCTAATCTTTAATAATAATTTTCATGAATGGAAACGAAACCGACAATTTATCACTAAAGTTTTAATGTCAAAAAAATATCATTCTGAATTTATAAGTAGCGTTCAAAAGATATTTATAGAACTTGAAGATCATTGGAATGAAAGTGGTGCTATAACCTTAGATCTTTCCAAATGGGTATCTAATTATAAAACAAAAGTAGCAATCGAGACAATCATTGGACAACCATCATCATCATACAACTTGCTGTCAATTTCCAAAGCTGCATCTGAATATATTGCAATGCTCGCTTTCTTAGTCTTTGTACCAAAATGTATTAGCAGTATAGTTATGTTCTTTGCTTTTAGTACTATGAAGAAGAATTCCGTTTTCTTGAATGGTACAGTGCGTAGCATTATTGAAAATCGTAGGAATGAGGTTAAAAATGGATCAACTGTAAAATTTAATTTACTGGACCTATTGTTGATTGCAAATTCACCAAATGATTCTGAAGAATATATCAAAGGCGAACAACCTATGAATGATGATGAAATTGAATCTAATCTTGCTGAAAGTTTTTCTGCTTCTATTGAGACGGTTGTTTATCAAATTTTTTAATTTATCTAAACAAATATATGAATACTAACTAATATTTGATCAATGTTTGATATTAGACCAGCTCAGCTTTTTGTTTTCTTATCTATACTATTGCCAAAAACCCTTCAATTCTTGGAAAACTTTGTGCAGAAATTCTTAAAATCTTTGGTTCTGATACAAACTCAATGATTACTCACGAAGCCCTTGAAAAATGCCTCTATGTAGATGCACTAGTTAAAGAAATCTTACGTCATTCAAGTCCAGTTCCATATAATTTACGCATGCTTGACGGTTATGAAAGCACAGATAAATTTCGTTGGTTGCCCGGAACATGCTTCCTTGTTGATAATCGTCGAATAATGAATAATCCTAAATATTGGAATGAACCAAACAAATTTAATCCCGATAGATTTCTCAGTAAAGAAAATGGAGGCACTGGAGAATTTAATACAGTGTGTAAAAATGGATATACGCCATTTGGTGGAGGTTTAAGAATTTGTCCAGGAAGGTATATTGCATCAATTGAGCTAAAATTGCTTGTGGTCCTATTCTTTAGGAAGTATAATATTGAGTTAATAAACGAAAATGAACCAATTAAATCTGTTTATAGAGGCACTTACCAAGTTCATGATCTAATGATCAGAATATCTCACAAATGATATAGTTCACAATATCTTAAATTAACTAGCAATTTGTAAAGCTAACACTTAATTTTGGTGATTTTCGGTCGTGGAATTTCTTATTTTAATATATACTGTATTTTTTTACTGTTTATTATTTCCCTTAATTTAGTGTTTCTTTTTATATTTCTTATTTTATTATATCCTTTATTTTTTATTTACTATCTATGATTTCCTTAATTTAGTGTTTCTTTTTATCTTATATAAATTTTAAATTGCGTAGGACGAAAGTATCTAATAAATAATTGATAATATTAATTAGTATTTAGGAGTACTGACTTAATACAAAATTTGATTGGCTATTTATATAATTTGGATTTGAGAAGATTAAAATTTATTATATAATAATATGTATTCGTAAAATAATAAGTGCGTAATAAACTTAGAGAAAGCCGTGTAGAAAGGAAGTTAACTACAAATAAATATGAAAATATTTAATATGTTAATAAACTTGTAATCTTTTGTAATATAAATTAAAAGAAAACAATAAGAATTTAATTCGTATTTAATAAAGTATTTATTAGCTCAGTGCTAATAGGCTGACGAATATATAAAGAACCTTGATGTCTGTGAAATTGTTGATAGAATAGGAATAAGTTTGTCTGCTTCTAAATATTCATTTTTTATTTTAATTTGTTCTTCACTTAATTCTTATTAAGAATTATTTCACATTCTTGCAATTGATCATAAACCTTTTTAACAGTTGACCGTTTCATCGAATCATTATTCATGCACTGTTTTGCAAGTTTTATATAAACATCAGGTGTTCCTAAAGCAAATTCTGGTCGTAATTTTAAATCTGTAATTAATTGTTTTTATGTGATATATTTTCAAATGGTGGTTTGCCAGTTGACATTTCTGACATAATTACACCTAAACTATAAATATCTGAATCTTTTGTAGGTTGATTTCCTAATAATACTTCAGCTGCTGCATAAGGTACTAGCCCTAAATCTGAAATTTTTGGTACTACATTTATTTTATCACCTAAATTAAGTGAAACTACTGCTAATTTATCACCTATAGAATAAGGAATATTTTTGAATATCTCTAGTACTAATCATAAGTATATTACGCTATGAAAATCTCCATGAATATAATCTAAATTATCAGAAATCGAACAAAGAATTTTTATGTTTTGCTTCCAGTCGAGAGTTTTAAAATTTGTTGCTAAATACTGCCGGAGATCAGCATATTCAAAAACCATTAGATATTCATCGTCAACGCCGTTATAAGTTACTCCATATATTTCTATTCCATATTTATCTACGCTAAATCTGTTAAGCTGACATGCATAATGTATTTTAAACTAATAAAATTAATTTTCACCATTATTCCTATTATAAATGAGTGTCGCCAAAAAAAACCCCGACAATTTAAATATAGATTATATTTAAATTGCCGGGTTTTCTTTTGGCGACACTCAAATACAATATAAAATATAAAATATAAGATAATTTATTATTTCACCTCATTAAAAAAATCCGATCATATATTCAGCATTCCGGTTAAAACTCTTAAGGGCCACATTGCATTGTACACGAGATAATAATACATCATTATGCATCACACATATATAACGCTGGGGTGTCCAATGTACTATGTAAATCAAACTTATGTATAGTCTCATATGTATGACTTCAAATTGTATCTCCTCCACAACTTACATATTAATTTGTATAGAAATTTTGCTCAGCTACTCAATGAGACCTGTATTTTAAACAAAAAGAGCGATTTTTTTATTATTTGAAAATTTTAATAAATTTGTTAAAAAATCTGTTATTTTACTAGATTTTCGCGATTGTTACACGAAAAATTATTCATATGAGACTATACATAATTTTGATTTACATAGTACATTGGACACCCCAATATAACGCATCAATTTTGTATAAATTAGACCTTTACCCCGAAACCCATGCGCGTTATCAATCCAGATTGCAGCATAAACTTTGCCAAAACCGCCTTTACCAATTCGTTCACTATTTTTTAATTTATCATAAGGTATAAATTCAATTACTTTATAATAATATTTAGACTCTTCTTGTGCTTTTTTTATAAATTGATCTATTTCAGAATTTCTACTAGTCCAGTTCTGACTTATTTTATGATCAGAATTACAATAAAAAAATCCAGTGTTATATTTTTACAACTTACACAGGTTCAAAACCTGAAATAGTTCATGTCTGTACTATATGATTTTATTCCGATTGATTTATTTAAATCTGAAACTGATTCTTTATAACTGCCCATCTGTCGATAGGCTTCTCTGCGATTATTCAATGCTGTTACATTGTTTATTTTCAATATTGTCTATAGTATGAATATTAGCATGAAGTTGTTTACATTTATCACACAAATCAGAAGCTTTAGACATAAATTTAATATCAGGTGCGATTTCATTCCAAATTTGATGTAATGTAGAAAAAGCTATAGCCTTATAATCTTCGCCTTTAATAAATTTAATTGTATTTATCTATTCTTTATATACACTATTATAAGTTGTATCTATTAGAAGTAAAATAATGGGCATAGTACTTTTTTGTATATGTTGACCTGGTGATGAATATCTGTGAATAGTCACATAATTATGAAGAAAATTATTAAGTTCTTGTTTTGTTTGATCATCAATAAAAGCATGATCAGATCTAATAGAAATATGTCCTGAATTGTCATGAGTTATCTTTGTTATTCCATTACTTCTAATGTATGCCTTAATACAATCAAGTCATGAAAAAGAAATTCTAATTAATATTAAGTAAACAGGTAAACATACAATATAAAGTGCATTGTAATGGTATTGATATTTTATACGATTATTTAACTCTTAAGAATTATTTTGTTTAGATAATTCACTATAAGCAAATGATGCAAGTTGCCCTTGAATCAAGCAATTATGAGACATATTATGGCATTCTTCTTGTCATTTAAAAAATTGACAAAACCCTATCTTTTCAAAACAAGACTTATTTTTTTTACTTTTTCTGCAAGTACATTTATTTTTTTGCCAAAACTCCCATAATTCCTAAACATGCTGATGGGTAAGTTCATTAGTTTCATCATATTCATTTAAATTTAGTTCAGCAAAAGAAGGAGCGAGATTATATAGTTCATCTTGTTCTAGAGTTAAGTTTTTGTGAGAATTTGTATCCAAATTTTCAAAATTCATTGTATTAATAAAGTAAAAAAAAAATTTAAATAAATTGTTCACAATTTGATATAATTTATAAATATTATTATTTGAATTGAATTTTATAAAAGTTTAATCTTAAAATTTTTACAATTATTGCTGTTTTATTGCCATTAATACTAAATTATCAAAAAATTCAATTTTTAAACTTTTGAATTTTAGTTCAAATGTTCGCTATTGCTACTGCTATTACTAATAACAAATCGACGATGTACAAATTATTCTAAACTTTTATAATTTGAAAAAACTAAGATGTGTATAGCATTAAATTGTCAGGAAATTTAAAATCTCTAATTTTTGAACTTAATTTGCTAACATTTAATAACTATTAGCGTTAAAATTTTTAGATCCACTATTGTGATATTACTAAAACCGTTAATATTGCATCAACAATGTAATTATTAATGATCGATTTGTTATATACATGAGATATATTACACATTACACACATAAATATCTAAATTTATCACAATCACCAAACTTGCATCAAAATTGATATCTCCAAATTAAAAATTCGTCTCTAAGCCCCGATTTATGTGGAAGGGCCCATTTGAATTTTATGGATCTATAGAATTCAAATAAAAAAAAAAATTCATCAAATTTGATCAAGTGGTTGCTGAGATATCATTTCTCGGTTTTTTTTTTTAAAAAAAATGTCAATGTTTATCATTGATAGAAACTGCGCCAATTTTTCCTAAACTTTAGAGCAGATATATTTCAGCAACCACATAAACAAATTCGATGAATTTTTTTTTTTTTATTTGCATTCTATAGATTCATAGAATTCATATAAAAAATTTTCATCGAATTTGATCGGGCGGTTGCTGAAATATCTTCGTTCAAAGTTTTTAACCATCAAAAATAGAAGCTGCGCCAAATTTTTTCTAAAACTTTGAGCGAAGTTATTTCAGGAACTATCTAATAAATCCGATGAAAACCTTTTTATTTGAATTCTAGGGATCATAGAATTCAAAAAAAAAAAAAACCACTCGTCGAATTTGATCAGGTTGCTGCTGAGAAATCTTCGCTCGAAGTATTTTTTTTAAAAAAAATCAAATTCACCTTAATACAAGAGCGAAAAATTTAGTAACTCCGTAAGTTCTTGTTTATTTGAGCTAAAGTTTTATAAAATAAAATTTTAATACATTCTCTAAAAGTCTAATTATTGCGCAGTAATAAATTTAGAACGAACTTTTAAAAATCTGGATGAATACCATGAATTTTCTGCATGTTGACGAGGGTCAACAGATCGAAAAGACAGGGAGCACTGGGCAGGGGTTTACGATAGGTACTCTAAAGCGGAAGACACATGACACGTGTCCAACCCAGCCTGGTTACACACATCAAGGATCAGTATCAGTCGGTAAAAATGAAATCATCAACTGATTGAAAATTCATGCAAATTCGAAAAAGCCACCAAAACGTCAGTATATAAAAAGTCGTCGAGAAAGCCAATTCTACACACTCTTTCTCACAAGAACCAATTCATTTAACTTGCATTTTCTCGACCCAGCCCTGCCCACACACGGTGGAACAGTCTCCTGATTCTGCCATTTTCCTATTTAACAGCCGGCCTGCTTCAAGCAGGCGGGAAACCACCGGCTGATGCTGCTTCTCACTCGCTCTACTGTTACGATGATACCTGGCGCAATCTCACTT